AAAATACAAGGTCTCGAGTTCGATCCCCAGTACCAAAAAAAAAAAAAAAAAACGTTTAAGCCCAACCTGGATAACAGTGACTTACTGAGACCCTGTCTCAAATTTTAAAGTGAGGAAGGGGCCTGGGGAATGGAATGTAACATGAGGCAGTTCAGTCCCCAGTACCACCAAAACAAAGTGTTTTTGCGGGTTGACTTTGTATCCTGCAGTGCTAAATGCATTTTTTAGTTCTGAGGGTGGGGGATCTTAACAGTACTCAGTGTACAAAGAGTATCATCTGAGAACAGATAATTTTGCTTCCCTTCCAACTTGGAAGCCTGTATTTCTTTTTCTTGCCTAATTCCTCTGGCTGGAATTTCCAGTACTTTGTTCAGCCAAAGTGGGAAAAACAAACTTGATGTCTCTTCCGATCTTAGAAAAGTGCTTTCAGTCTTTGCCACTGAATTCCCCCCGCAGTTCCTTCTTTTATTGAGTGTTTTTAATCACAAATGGGTATTGAATTTTGCCAGGTGCTTTTTCTGCACCAATTGAAATACGCAGGGGTAGAATTCTTTTATCATGCTCCTGAACTGTGTTTGCTAGTATTCTCTTCAGGATTTTTGCACTGCTGTTCTTAGATAATGGTCTGCGGTTCTGTTTTTGCAGAGTCTTTGTCCAACTTTGGAATCAGGGTAGTACTGGCCCCTTAGAATGAGTTTGGAAGCATTCTCTCATCTTTGATGTTTTGGAGAAGTTGGAAAATTGCTCCTAGTTCCCTGTTTTCAAGTGTTTGGTCGAGTTACCAGGGAAGATTTCCTGCCTGGCAGTCTGGTCTCCATGCCCATCATTGGCCTGTCTGGGCTTTCCATCTCTTTGCGACTTCTTCTCGGGAAGAAGCTTGTACTTCTTTTGTACTTGTACTTTTCTTTTTCCAGGTCCTGATGTTAATCTGTCTTCCATTACTACAGCAGAATGCTCTATGAAGAGGCCTATGCACTGCGGTTTGGGGCTCCTGCTCGCTCTGCTGGAGGCCTTGGGGCTGTAGCTGGGCAGCAGTGGGAACCTTGCAGAGGCTGAGGTCCCAGTGACCCAGACCTCCTGCCACCACCCCCAGGTCTCACTGCCCCACAACAGCACCACTCTCGGGCCCAGGCTCCCCCTGCCTGCGCCTCTGGTGTTCATTCAGACCACAGAACACTCCTTAAGCAGAAAAGCCGGATCGTGGTTTGACATCTCCTGCTGTTGCTGCCACTTGTGGTGCTGGGGTCAGTCCAGGCCTTGTGTATGCCAAGCATGGGTCCTGCCACTACCGCTGCAATGCATCCCAGTGCACAGGTGTTCCCGTGGGGTCGCTTTTGTTTCATCCCATAAGTTTTGGTATTTTGACTTTTTGTTTCTATTTGTCTCTGAGTATTTTCTAATTTCCCTTGTGATTTCTTCTTGGATCCATTGGTTAAGAGTTGTTTAATTTCCACAAAATTGTGTATTTTCCAGTCTTCTTTTGTAATTGATTTCCAACTCCATGAAGTGTGGTGGGCCTGGTACTTTGTATGATGTCTGTCTTTCAAAGTCTGTAGGGACTTCATCTGTGACCTCACACAGAGTCATCTGTCCAGTGAAAGTATAACTGGATGATTGAGGTGATAGAACTTTTCAGACTTACAGCTTGACACATCTCTTAATTTTACTATAGAAATTTAGAAATAAGTATGTAGCTTTAGGTATCATTTTTAATGCTATCTCATTACATTTTGAAATGATACCGATATTTTTATTATAGTGAAAAAGGTTATCATTTATGAAATATCGAACCAGTGACCTTAGCTATTCAGTCGTGATGAAAGGCCCAATCTAACCTTTTATTGAATGTGATATTTATTAAAAATGAAACTTCTCATTTCCATTACTTAATCAATAGCACATTAAGCCATTTATTAATATGATTAAAGGAGGTCTTGGAGACTAGATATTCTGCTTCTTTGTCTTCTGCTTTAATTCTGATAGGAAAGAGCATTTTAACCTTGTAACTTTTATAAGCTACAGGAAAGAACAATTAAAATTTTCAGGAAGAAAATAATTTGTAAAGGTTGTATAAAAAGAAGCAAGCTTCTTTCACGGTCAGGAGTCCTCTCCCTCCGTTGATGCCCCATCTCGGGACCCTCCACCCTTCCGGATGGACAGCTGATGGAAGCCTTCATGGAGCTCCTGGCTGGACAGCTGCCTTGGTTGGGCTCAGACAGTTCACTCGCATGGAGGCAGGGAGGTGGCAAGGGCACAGAGCCTCTCCGCTTGGGCACAGGGGACAATGGGCTGCTTGTCCTCTGAGTGTCCTTGGGGTCCCATTTACATCTCCCTCTTTGAAGTCTTCAAAATTTGTCCTGAGAACCTCACCTAAATTCACACATGTTTCTTGGGCCCCAGGTATGTGAATGACATGGTGCTGTAGAAGATATGTCCATTTCATGCCAAAAACTATAACTAAATCTTGGTGGGTTTTTTGTTAGGGAAAAGGGAGGATAAAAATAATTCATTAGTCCTAGAATTGAAAAATACTGAAAATTTGTGGAAATTATAGAGAAATCAGTGTAGTGTTTTCCTTTGTAACCTTGGTCCCTGGGCTCATTTTCCCTGTGAGCTGCCCCTGAGGACCCTCATTCTGAGACCTGATCCTAGTGCACTGGCAGTTCCCAGTAGCCTCGCTGGGGACCTGAGCCTTTTCTTCCACCCAGACGGCTGATATCTCAGTGACCCAAGAATACGCAGCAGTCGTCAGGAGGCAGGGGCTGGCCCCCCACCATAGGCTGCTGTTTACTTGACCAGTCTACTGCATCTGCCCTTTTCCACAGCAGCACCACTTCCGGCAGATGTGGGGCTCCCTACACAGACCCAGGGGCTGAGTTAGCATGGCATACACTCCCTCTGGTTGGCCCCAGATGGGAGAGTTTTGTGTTGGGCAGGAGCCTTTGGGTCGGGTGAGTAAAGCGTGTTTGCCACTTTCAGAATCAGAGATTGAATGGGGGTATGTGTTGCTTTTACCATTTTGTCTTTGGTTTTCTAGAACGAATGTGCTTTAAGCCTTCTTTGTCAAAAATTGACTCAGTGGCTGTCTTTTCTGTGTAATGGCAGGCAGCTTTTTTACTTTCCAAACATATTCCCAGGTGTGACCTATGTCCCATTACCTGGGTTCAGAGGAAGCGTGTCCCTGTGGCGCATTAGCTCCAGCTCAGACTCAGTGAGCCAGTGTAGACACAGAAGCTGTCGTTCCCATCTGATAGCAGCGTTCCCCAGCAAAGCAGTCGCTATTGATGTACATAATTGATCACTTTATTAACTGTGGAATAAAGAAGCTTTATTGAGGTAATAAAGCATAACTTCATTATATCCTGGATGGGGAGAGCAAACATGTTGGAATGTGGCTGACAGGTTCCCATTTCAAGGCTGATTCTGGTCATGATAATGTTTAAGTACCATTGATTGTGCTCTAATTGAATTTTTCTTTCTTTAGGCCTCTTCTGAAGAGCTAAAAGCTGCGTACCGGAGGCTGTGTATGCTTTACCATCCAGACAAGCACAGAGATCCAGAGCTCAAATCACAAGCAGAACGACTATTTAACCTTGTTCACCAGGCTTATGAAGGTCAGCTCGGGGCTTGGCTTCACAGAATCACACTGGTAGCAGATACTCGATTTTTAAGAGACTTGATTTATAGAAGATAGAAAAAGAGTCCTTAGAGGTGTATATAAAAGAGGTGGTTAGTTTCGTAGTTTTTACCGAGAGGGCCCTTTGAAAGAGTAGCATTTTGCTTTGGAAATCAATATGTGTCCAGTAAGTAGAAAATGAGAGTCCAGGTGAAGTAATGGGCCAGGGTCTGGGCTGCAGGGTATGCTCGAGTTTAAATCGTTTACCACTTTATTCTATAAAGGGAGCTGAAGGAGGAAAAGGCTGATCGTTACAGAGACACTTGCTTTGTTCTCTTCTGTAAGAAGCGACAAGGACACGTTCTCATCTGAAGGCAGTTTTGTTGTTTCTGTAGCATTCAGTTAGAGAAAGATTCTAACAGAAAGCAATGTTAAAAGGTGTCTAATAGGAAATAGGACCAATTAATTAAGATTTTTAGACATGTCTTACATCAGAAAGAAAAATCTTGATATATTTGTTTACAAAATATTAAAGCTGGCCAGGGATTTAGCTCAGTGGTTCAGCTGCCTGCCTCGCAAGCACAGGACCCAAGTTCGATCCCTGGTACCAAAAAAAATATATGTATATATATATTAAAGCTACTAAGAGACAGTTTATCTTTTGGGGATGATGAAAAGTTCTATAAGTAGAAAGTGATGGTGGTTAGGTTACACAGCATTGTAAATGCTTCATGCTGCCGAATTAGACACTTTAAAATGGAAAGCTACGTCTATTTCACCACAGTTTAAAAATTAAAAACAACAAATATATCAGCTCACTCTCAAGTGAGAGAAGTCCTTCATTCTAGAACTTCTGGGTGATTTGCTCCTTGAGAACAAAGCCAGATAGTTGTGCGTTTCTTTACATAATAACAGACCTCACACTGTAGACGTGGTGTGTGTCACAAGAACTTAGATGTTAATTACACTGTGAATCAGGCTGGGGTGCAGGGTAAATGTGACCCACCAGTGTTGACTCGTTACCAGATTTGACTGTTCACACCACTTCTGGGGTTGTGACCAAAAGCCTGTCCTTTTGTTGTATTCAGTTGTCTGAAGGCCACATTAGTTTTACTGCTGTCAAAATTATCCACATAGCTTATGAATTGATTCGGAAATTTGGAGACAGCTAGCAGGGAAACCTACCTATGCTTGTGAAGATGCAGCAGCCACAGCCCTGGCCCCAGCATTTCGCTTAAATAGAGAAAGAAGTAAAGTAGTGAAGAGCTGTTTCCTTACTGAATCTTAGGGGTGAACTTAAGAAGTTTGGCTCCCATGTCTTCCAGTGCTCAGCATTTCCTTTCCCCACTGGATTTGAATATGGATAGGCTCATTTGTGTCATTTTGTAGTTAGGCCTAAAAATCTATGAGAACTCTCAGGGGAAGATGCAAAAGTCCTGAGTACAGAGAACCCAGCAGAGCAGGGGAGAGATGAGGGCTGCTGACTCTCCAATGGTGGTCAAATTCAGTTTGCATAGCCTTTGGATAACTCCTGCCCTTATCAGGAGGTCTTTTATGTATTTTAGGTGATATGGCCAGCAACCTTGTGAGAGGTATTCATGTATTTGTAAATGATTTGCAGATAAAGAAGAAGGTACACACACAAAGGATGTATGCTACCTTAGGAATTAGTAGCACTCTAAATAATAAATCAGATTTTTTACTAAAAACTAGAATCAGCTGGGCAAGGTGGTACACACCTATAATCCCAGCACTTGGGAGGCTGAGGCAGGAGGACTGCTGTGGGTTTGAGGCCAGCCTAGGCTACATAGTTCAAGGCCAACCTGAACTACATAGTAAGACAGTCTCAAAACACCTAAAAAGTAAAAACCAGAATCAGCTGTCAAGACCGTGTACCTTATACGCTGTGCAGAAACCAACCTGTTTTAAAAACAGACATGCTTTGGTGACACCAGAGCCCGTGCAGTTTTTAGGCAGTGCATCCTGTCTGTGGTGTACACAGCAAGGAGAAGCCTGGACCATGGGGATTGGCTCTGCCCATTTGTGGCCACCTTTAAACACAGCCTGGGTTGGAGCCCAAGAGCAGTTAGGAGGGAAAACTTGGGGGAAAGGAAGGGAGCCTCCCAGATGACTGGTGGGAAGAAGAAGAGAAAAATGCATTTATCTAGTGACATTGTTGCGAGTGCTTTCAGAGGACTGAGAGGTGAATTCTGTACTTTGTATGTTTGTTTTTTAATTACAGTGCTTAGTGACCCCCAAACCAGGGCCATCTATGATATATATGGGAAGAGAGGACTGGAAATGGAAGGATGGGAGGTAAGAGAAACTGCATCGGGGTCCCAGAGAAGTCATTGAACAACTACAGACAAGCAGCCCACGCCATCTTTGGGAACACTTGGGACACTAAATTCCCCTCCCTCCCCTGTGATTGTGTTAGAGGTTGAGTTCTAGAGTGGATTTTCCACTTTGTAACTATACGCATTAGGACGAGTCAGGACCCTGCTGAGGCTTAGCCCTGGTTGAGGAACTGAGGGAAGGCCACTACTTCAAGGCTGCAACTCTGTCTGCATTCCTCTTGACCTCTGTGCCTCTCCTCCTCCTAGTGAGAAACTGTTTAGGGTAAGCTCCTCCTGGGAACGTGTTACACATGCACACGAAATGGAAGCAAAGATCTATGGAGAGCTGTTGCGTTACCTTGCCCACCGTACCCGCTCTGATTGTTACGTGCTATAATATCAGAACACTGCTAATGGGATGAGGAGGCAAAATATACCAGGTGTCTCTGAAGTAGATAGCCCTAGGCAGCCGTGTGCTGTGTGAACAGTTATAAAAATTCAGACGCTTCTGGTGCATTTTTCTTTCTCTCTGCCCATGACAGGTTCTAGAGCCCTGGGCAAGTCACTTGGCTGCTTTGTGCTGCCATGGCATTATCTAAGATGTGAGGATTGAATAGAAAAAAGGACATGAAAGTTATGTAAAACTCTAAATTGCCGCAGGAATATATAGGTGCTGTTATATTTAATTTCATTAAAGAAACTTGATTCTGATTCCTAAGACATTTTGGCAGGCTATTAGTTAATAACACTGAATTGTCTCTTTTTGGTTTTTTTCCCCCTTGATCATAAAAGATTTCCCTTGAAATCCCTTTGCTGTTTAACCGTGCGAATATGCATGCCTGTCACGCCTGCTTCTAGTGGGAACACCTGGTAAAGGCCTGAAGATCAGAGGAAGGAAGCGGAACAGGCTGTGGCCCTTTCCCTCCTGCCGGACGTTGGTGGCTTGTGGCCATATTCTACCTGGAGCCATGTTTGGATTGCTCCACACTGGCGATTTTGTGTGAAAATCCCAGCTTCTGTCCATGAAGCACCAGATGTTTGCCACTGATGTAGGCTCCCCGATGAGGCAGCGCACAGTCCCCAGGCTGGGCTGTGCATCTGGTCCCCATCCCCACCTTCCTGTCACTCCACCTGCCTGCCCCGCCTGGCTCACTGGGCAATTGGTTTGTGGCCTCTGACTTGATGGAAACAGCAATGCCCGGGGGTGCATTCACTCATCAGAGCTCAGCACTGTCAGATAGCTTAGCCTTTATTTTATCCACAAAGGAAAATGAATCCTGTTTTCTTCACTAAGTTTCTCCTCACTCTTCATACATTTCAAAGTTCCCTTGGTTTTTTTTGTTTTTTGTTTTTTGTTTTTGTTTTGTTTTGTACCAGGGATTGAACTCCGGCTCTTGCGCTTGCAAGGTAGGCCACCGAACCGCTGAGCTAAATCCCCGGCCCAAAGCTCCCTTGTTTACGGTGTGGATTGGTTCCACATTTCCACTGTGGCCCTTGGGGGCCCTGAAAGCTGCAGGGCATGACACATACTCCTGCAGGTCAGCCTCGGGTTTCCTTCTGGGCATCATTATTCCAGCTCTGTGGGGGCAAAACAGTGCACGATTTCCTATTGCAGATCCCCTCCCTCCTGGAAATGAAGCAAAACCACCCAGACAGCAGTGACCCTAGGAGTACCTGGGGGTACTGGGGAGGCCCAGAAATGATGGAAGTGTTTGTGCGTGTCCAGCATCTGTATACCAGTATACACTAATAAAACAGATACAGAACAAAGGGAATACGCAGGTATTCACAGGTGGTGAATGGATAGACTTTCTATTCATACCTTTTAGTAAATTAAAGAAATAAAGTTGTTGTGGGTCAGAATTGGCTTATGTTTTCATACTGATGTGAAACCATGACTGCAAGATAAAAATGCCTTCCAGGAGGAAGACAGGAAGACAACACCCCAGATGTTGACAGTGCTTAACTGGTGAGCTGGGAGAGCGCAGCCCATTGTTCACACATAAAGGCGAAATCTCCCTGAACCCCAGCACCTAGCTGCAGAGACTCAGCTGGATGCGTTGTTTATTATGAGCAGTAGTAGCTTCCCTCCTGGGAGTACTCACTATTCCTTTCATGCTAGTGCTGGTATTTTTAGACTGCTAGACTTTGCTAGTTGCTGAAGGGTATCCATTTAGCACCTATTATACTGAACATGGGGTAGTTGGCGAAAGGTGAAGGGCATTGTTGGTGCACTCAGTCTCTGTAAGGCATTCTCACCAGTGATCCCAAAGTACTGGCGTCTCTCCTGCTTAATAGTAGATGCTGGAGGTAAGATCAGTGCTTCTTTAGCTTGTATCAAATATTGGCCCTGTTTTTGTTCTTTAGGTAAATTTTCATACTTTTTTTTAAGAGATTCTTCATTAACTGGCAAAATTGCAGAGCAGTGAGATGTAACCATTCCCAGCTTTGAAATCAGCCATGTTAGTTCTTAGAGTTAAGTCAGCAATGTTTGTGTGAATGTTGAAAATGTATCTCCTCTTCAGAATGACAAAAATCAAACTGATTCCGTCGCCTGCCTTGCAAGTGCAAGGGCCCAAGTTTGATCCCCAGTACCAAAAAAAAAAAAAAATCAAACTGAGCCATGAATACTCTTGAAGGTGTGGACTCTGCTCCAGGCTGCAAGTGGAAAGCAAACCACAGAGTCAGCTCTTCGTGTTATAGATGACGTTCAGCACTACAGCCTTTGGCCTGGGTCAGCCGCAGCTTGCGGTTGATGACATCATCCTGACATCAGTCTCTCAGTGTCTAGGAAGTCCGCCTCTGTAGTCAGAATTCTAATACAGCCAAGACTGTGAGAAGCAAGGAAGGACGTAGAACTCACACCACAGAGGAGGAGAGTGAGGGAACATGAGATTGAGTCCTGGCACCGAGGAAGGATGTTAGGGGAAAACAAGTAAAATCTGAAAAGTCTGGGTTTGGTTGACAGAATAAACTCATGTTGGTCTCTTAGCTTTCATTGGTGCTCTGTGGTTAGGGGAAGCTGGATGGCTGGTGTACTAGAACTTTACTAGCTGCAGTTCTGAATGAGTATGTGAAATTGTCTCAAATATAAAGCTGACTGGGTAAAATCCTAGAATTTTGAACCCAGACGGCCCCTTTTGTGTGGTTTGTCCTCATTGGATAGCAGAGAACTGAAGCCTAGAGGTGACTTGCTAGAGGTCCCCGGGAGTGAGCCCCATGTCATTTGCAGAGCCTCACCGTCTGCTCAGTGTCCTCCCCATAAGTTTGGTCTTTCTGGCCACGCGGGGTGGGCCTCACTGTGAGTGATCCAGGTGAGCAGGGCGCAGGTATAGACTCCAAGCTGCCTGACCCCGTTCCTGAGAGGCATTGATCAGGCCCGGTGCGCACAGAGTGCCACGCCCCTGGGTGCTCTCAGTGCTGCTAGGCTCAGGAACAGTGGCTCCCAGGTGCCTGAGTCCTGGCCCAGACTCCAGCGTCCTGTGCTCCATCACCTGGCGGCAGATGCTTGCAAGTGAGGTGTCAGCCCTGCTGTTTAGCCTTAGAGCTTAGAACCAGGCACATCAACTTGCACAACTGTGTAAAATATGCCTATTAAATGGAATAATCCGGCACCTCTGGATTATTTTCTCTAGCTTACCTTAGCGTATAGCAGACAGGAAGTTATTTGCAGCTATTAACTTAGACTCCAAAGGTTAAATGACTAGAGTCCCTGAAAGCTTATCTTTTCCTGCTGTGGCCTCTGTGGGACTTGACAGTGGCCAGTTTCATTTTGGTTTAATTTCCTGCAGGGTTTGAGTCCAGGATTTAAATGCCTGGAATCTCGCGCACTATTCTGTGGGAACACTCATGGGTTCAGTTTATGTTATGGTTAAAGCTATGGGTGAGGACACTTTGTGTTTTGTTTTGTGTCTGAGAGCTGTAGTGTGGGTTAGTTTTTTGCTTGTTGGTTTTGAGACAAGATCTTGCTATACAGTCCAGGCTGGCCTCACCTCCTGCCTCAGCCTCCCCAGTGAGGAGGACTGGCATGCACCACTATGCCCAGTGCCAAACTTTTGTTGAATCTGCGTGTTTAAACCCCAGATTCTGTTCATAATACCCATTTATGGAGCCTTTCATCCAGGTCAGAAGAGCCTGGTTACTTGAGGCATGTCGAGGAGCCACTTCCCCTCCAGACCTAAGTCTCGCACCTGACACAGTAATCCTTGGTCACTCAGGGCACCGTTGGCAGGGACCGGAGGAGTCTGGTGGTTTCAAGTCATCACGATTTTCAACATATTCTAAGTCTTTTTTTTTTTTTTTTTGGTGGATCTTCAAAGTTAAGTGGAATGGCTGATCCCATGCATTCCTCCAAAACACTTTTGTTTTTCCTTTTTCCTTTCTTTGGATCAAGGAGAGGCTGGCAGGAGGCTGAGAAGGTTTGGGAACCCTGAAAGTCGTGCCTGGCTTGACTGGAGGCGAGTGTGCCCTAAACTGGCCTGGGCCTGGCCGCCCCGCCCAGGAAGTGTGACTTGGATGGCAGTCACCTCCAAGCCTTCCACAATGTCCCGTTTCTAGTGGATAATTTTAACAAGCTTCACATGTTAAAATATTTAGGTGACATATACATGCAAACATACATGCAAAGGTTTTTAGGAAAAGACCAAAAATGCTAACCTGCAAGAAGAGGGAACGTGGATGAACTGGGAATCCTTCTGTACTGTTTTTGTTGGTGCTGTTTTTTGTGATTTATCTTGTTTGGGTTCTTTGAATGTATTGTTTTTGGAATTTCACAGTAGCTTCTCTCATATCAACTGTCATTTTTGAAGGGCTCTCAGCAGCGTCTTACAGCTGCCTGTGTTTCTCCCACATGGAAACCATTTTGGGGCTTTGTCCTTAGCCACCTCTTGAGTGCTCATGGTAGATGAAGCCTAACCTCTTTCTGTCCCTTTGTGCTCTGTGTTTTTGGGGGCCTGGGGGCCCTGTCTTTCACTATCTCCCCACCTCCGCCTCGTGGCAGCCTCAGCTGGTTCTCTCCTGAGCTAAGATGGGTGCTGTGGTGTCCCTGCACATCCCCACATTGGTGTCTGCTGTTCAGGCCATGCATGTTTTTGCACTGAGACCTGTGTCACTGGCATGGCTGTGCTGAGGGTCCTGTGACCATTCAGGAGAAAGTGTCCTATGAGTCTAGGGCAGGTGTCTAGGACACCCCTCTGGGGATCTGGTGGTGCTTATATTAACGGTTCCTGCTGGGACCTGGGCTCACTGGGAAGTTGAGGTTGTGGGATTCTCGCTGAAAGAATCCCACAGCCTCAGAGAGAAGTTTCTAGAGTAAAGAATATGGAAGGATCCAGTGTGCCAGGGAAGCACAGGTGGGAGGAGAGCCCTGCTCCCGCTGTCTCTCCAGGCCTGGGGAGAGGTGCCCTCGGGCTTCATGTGTTTTCCTCACTTTTGATCCTCAGCCATCCCCATGGTTCTCTCGCAGGTCGTGGAGAGGAGGAGAACTCCAGCCGAGATCAGAGAAGAGTTCGAGCGGCTGCAGAGAGAGCGGGAGGAGAGAAGGCTGCAGCAGCGAACCAACCCCAAGGTAGCCACGCACACGTGGGAGGCAGGACTAAAATTGGGTGGGACAGAACTTCATTTATTCTATCACCCAGTGGTATCTTTCTGGGAGGAAACTCCCCGTAGCTATCAGTAGACCTCCTGCTGGCAGGGACATGGAGGTAGGTATGTCAAAGCTGTGGAGGGGTGGCGAAATCAATCCCCAAATTTCCCCAGGAGCCAACATTTCCCAAGCAGAGACTCAGGCTAAGTCTCCCAGCTGCGCTGCCTGAGACCGAGGATCAGTGAGAAACAGTGTCAGGGAAGGACACCAACCTCCCAGCTAAGCATTGAGGCCACAGGATCCCAGGTGCACAGGAGGGCCGCATCTTGCAGAGGCCGCAGGGCAGTGATGGCGAACCTTCTAGAGCCTTCCATGATAGCAGACAGCTGCAACATGCATGCCAGTTCACCACCACTGCTTTAGGGCATTTCCCGTTCACAGCACTCAGGGCCTTACCTTCTTCACCCAAGACATCCGTGCTATGAACCCAGCCACCGTAAGGTGACTCAAGTCCCCAGTGGAGTTGGAGCTGTCCTTGCAGACCCATGTAGAAGATCTTTTTCTTTCCTTGTGCTGGGGGACTTGGATGTGTGCCCAGCCCTGTGGCACACAGGATAGATGCCATCTCTGAGATGCTGTGTGCCGAGTGGCTAACTGGGGCCAGTGCACTGTTCGTCTGTGTTTCCTAAGAGGACTTGGCAGGCAAGCAGGCCCTATCGACACGGCCAGGAGGCGGCTGCATCTGAGTGATAGGGAGTGGGGGGCCTTCCAATCTGTGTTATCCCAGTGGTGTTGGAAGGAGAGGTGAAGTCCTAAGTCAATACAATCGTTTTTCTTTCAATGCTCTAAAAAGAACAGGGCCAGCTTAATTAAACTGGAACGCACAGCAGGGCAGACCTCTCTGATCAAAGTCATTCTAGAAGCAGATGTTTCAAAGACCCCCAACAGCATTTAAAGGGTGGTGTCTCCAGAACAGGCCTACTTGCTTGAAGTCCGTACTTCACAGCATGCACCGTCATCCTGCAGTCTCCCACAGGCGCGGCTCAGAACTATTCAAAGGTCCCACATTCTGCAGGTGCCTGAGTCCCTCGTCTCCAAGTGTGCAGCCTTACTGTACAACCTGCCATTCCTCTCTTGCTCTTCAAGTTGTCTCTAGCTTGTACTACTCAGTTACACATACAGTACAGCACCCGGTTATAAGAGCAGTGTAAATGCTATGTGCATGGTTGTTTATACTGTTTGTTTAAGAAGAGAGAATTGTACACATTCAGTGTGGACATTTTTTTCTTGACTGTTTTCAGTCTATGGTTGGTTGAATCTGGACATGGAATTCTGGGTCCAGAGGGCCAGCTGTGTTTGTAAATGCTGACACTGTCACCCACCCATCGATCACATGCGCACACACCTAGGAGGCAACAGCTTCAGTTATGCAGAATTCCCCTTTGGTCAGAGGGAGGTAGAGGCTTGAATCGCCAGCTCTGCCAAGTCAGGGAGCTCGAAGCACCTGGTGTTGGAAAGCCCTGAGGTGCCCCAGCCTGGCCAGTGTCTCCCCTTCTGTCCCTGCCCAGCTCGGGCCAGTGCCCTGGGGGTCTGGCTTGGAAGGTCAGCTTCGGCAGATGAGGTGCTGTTGCCCTGGTGGCTCTGCTCTTCCCCCTGCGGCCCTGCTGCACCCCTCATCCTGCTGGTAAGTAGGCCGTCTGGGTGTGGCTGTCATTTCCAGGGCCCTGTGCCCTGTGTCTACAGGCTGTTTCTATGCAGTGAGGGGACACAGCTGGGACATTCAGACAGGCATGCAAGTTATTTTAAACTAACACTTTGCTCTTCCATAAACTGCTTCCAAATGAGTAAAATGTTTCTGCAGCATTTTTAGGAAGGGATTTGAACTAAATGTTTTTCTTCCATTTCTGAGCAGTTTTCATGCTTTTCAAGGTCAGTGGGAAGTTTAGGACATCCCCTCCCAAGAAGGGGTGCTCTCCTCTCTGAAAAAGCCTACAACAGGTGGGCACCTGGATCCCCATCACCCCAACTTGTCGGGGTTAGCAGGCGGGGTGACCCTGTGACCCTGCCACCAGCCTGTTCTCTCCATCTTCCCTGCAAGTCAGGAGCAGGGGTTTTGCAGTAGGCTGTGTGGACCAGCAAAAAAACTGGGTGAGAAACAGGAAAATCAGTGAACACCTGCCCTGTGTTCAGTTTTCTCATTTGTAAAATGAAGACCTGTGTCCTTCCCACTACACCCAAGTCATTGAAAGATTGACTAAACATAAAATCGATGTTGACTTATGAACAGAACAAAACCTTGCCATACAAATGCCAAGTGGTCCTAGACCCGAGGTGAGAGTGCTGCGGGATCTCCTTTGGCACTGTCCTGGGGCCTGAGGCCAGGTTGGGTGGGCTCTGCCCACTGGACACAGACATGGCCCTCCAGTCACACCCAGTGTCCTCCGCCCTGGTCCCCTGCAGTTCCCACATTGGGTGCTGAAGGAACAAATATGCCAGCTCCAGTGTGGAGTCATTGCTGGTGGTGAAAACAGATAGGGTGCCAGGTGTGGTGGCTCATGCCTATAATCTCAGCAATCGGGAGTCAGGCAGGAGGATTTTTTAGTTCAAGGGCAGCCTTGGCTACATTGCAAACTCAAGGCCAGTTTGAGCTACACACACTAAACAGGGACTTCAAAGCAAAGCAGGTGGGGGTGGGGCTGGGGATTTAGCTCAGTGGCGCCTCTGCCTGCCTCCCAAGCACAAGGTCCAAAGTTCAATCCCTGGTACAAAAAAAAAAAAGCAGACACAGAACTGGTGGGGAGAGGGGTAAGGAAGTGGGTGGTGGTGTGTGGAAGGGTTTATCCTGGTGCTCCACTGTAAACCAGAGTATGTTCTAACATTAACACAATTTTCCTCATGAGCCAGGATCTGCCCTCCCACTCTCATTCAGTTCTCTTGCCAATAAATAAGAATGTTCTCATACCTGGCTTAGACTAGGAATGGTGTCACACGCCTCCCAGCACTTGGGAGGCAGAGGCAGGAGGATCACTGCAAGTTCAAAGCCAGCCTCAACTACATAGTTCAGGTGCATAGTGAGACCTTGTCTTTTAAAAAAAACCTGGCATAGTCTGTTCCAGGATAGGAATCAGTGTGAAGGCGTGGTTTCCCCTAATTAGCCAATGGAGTGGCTTGATTTTATAAATTATTTAATAAAACAGACTGTTGAAGAAGCAAGGGCAGCGTGGCAGAGCTATGGGCCTGGGGTCAGGAGCCCTGGCTCTGGACTTGGATTCCTCTTCCGGTCTGTGTGTGGTCAAGTATGTTCTCTGGCCCAGCCCAGTTCCTTCCCCCATGCAATACTGGGCGTCAGTGGTCCCGTCCAGGGACCCTGCTCTGTCTTTTGCCTCACAGAGCTTTGTGGAAGTGATGGCTTCTGTATTTCCTGCGGGAAAACTCCACGCCTGGGTAGCTGGGGGCCAAGTGTCTCCAGGGAGCCCTACTGGGGAGGCAGTGGGTGGTGGCAGTCCATGAGGCCCATCCTGAGACCTGATGAGAACTCGCTGTCCACCCTCCATCTTCAGGCTTCTGTTTTTATCTGTCTGACCTATCCCTGTTTCTTGTCTCTTAAAGAGTTAAGATCACAGAATAGAGAATGAGACTACCGTTATTCTGTACTGTGTCCTTTCTGTTGGTTAGTTTAATTCCTTTCTCTTTGTTTTTGAGACAGGGTCTCACTTTGCAGTTTGGCCTCCAACTCACTGTGGTTCTCTATCTCAGAATTATAGGCCTGAGCCATCATGCCTGGGTCAATTTCCTTCTTTTTTTTTTTAATGCCCTCAGTCTTTCTCTGGGCGGCAGCCACTCCAAGCGGCTGGATCCGGGCAGCTGTCTGCCCTGCTGCATTTGTCATCGACTTGGTACTATGCATAGCAGGGTTCAGCAGGGTCCTAGGGAGTTTGACTGTCCCTTGGGGCCTATATCCCTTTATTCTTTGACCCTGTTACAAAGCAGTTTCATGGAGGTCGTTATGTGATTTTCTGGCCCTCTCCAGTCTTCCCATATTATGGAGATTGGTGCACACTCTGGCGGCCTTCTCTGGTTTTAGAAAGGCCCCATCATTAATGTTTCATGCAATAGCTCAAAAACTTAACTCACCTTTATCCAGAAAAAAAATTTAATCAAGAGAGGCATTTAACCACAAGAAATGTGTTACAAGTCCCCAAACCTTTTCGTGAAGATAGGTGAGTACCTTGCTCACTTATTTTATAGAACTTGTTTTTTAGAGACTTTGGTCCCCATGGCTGACAATCATGGCATCCGCCTGTGCCTCGGCCTATTCCCAGAAGTGCCCCGGGAGCTCAAGTGAGACCCTGTCAGGGAGAGAAAAGGGTGTGGGCACCTGGCTGGTGCAGTGCACACACCTCCCAGCACTCGGGCTGAGGCAAGAGGATCACTGCGAGTTGAAGGCAAGCCGAGGCTACATATGAGGCCCTGCCTCAAAAGGCCGAGAAGAATGAGAATAGTAATTTGAGCCAGGTGGTGATGAATGTGTTAATCAGTTTGATTGTGATCACCGTGTAAGATTGTATCTTACACCTTGAATATACAAAATCTTCATTTGTCAGTTAAATACTTTGGAATTTGAAACAAAAAAAATGAATATAATTTCGAATGGTCCCTTCCTGCCCAAGTGAACAGCTGGTACTGAGTCTGCCCAAAGAGGCTTCCAGAAGGCATCACTCCCCACCTGGTGGCCAGAAGGCCCCTCCCGCCACAGGCAGATCTCTGGGCAACGTGAAGGGGCACAGCCGAGGGACAAAACCAGGACTCTCAGAACCCAGTGAGTAAGGGCAAGAGTTGAACCATAGAAGAAATGGTGACAGGGACAGATATGCTGGCCTAGAAGGGTAGGGAGGAAATGGCAGCTCTCAGTTGACTTCTGGGTTTGATGTTAGCAACAAGCTGGGCACAGTGGCACATGCCTAGAATCCCAGCTGCTCAGGACGCTAAGACAGTAGGATCCTCCCAGCCCCCCAGTTTGAGGCCAGCCTGAACTGTGCTCTGTGTTCAAGGACAGCCTGAGCTACATAAGGAGACCCTGTTGCAAAAAGCCAAGGAGGACGGCTGGGGATTTAGCTCAGTGGTTCTGCTGCCTGCCTTACAAGCACAGGGTCCCGAGTTCGATTTCCAGTACCCCCCAGAAAAATAGCAAAAAATAAGCCGAAGAGGGAGGGAGTGAAGAGAAAAGATAACACACACACATCACACATGAATACAGTCACATGTACAAAGCACAGTGTGTTACATACAAACCGTGCACCCAGGAGCTCACGTCTTCTCCCTCTTGCCTCCTGCCAGGGAAGCACTGTCCTGAGTGTCTGGCCCTGTTGTTTCGAAAGCTTCCTCACGATCGATGGCTGGCGGGTGGGGTGTGAGTGACACTCGCCCTGGGCTCCTCCCCAACCAAAAGAAATTTTTTGCATTTGCTTAAGTGATACATTGCTCAGTTTTTATGTTTTCAAGCTTTTTTTTTTCCACTTTGTTTTTGTTTTTGTCTCTTTATGTTTTACAAATTAGGGTTTCGTTGGGTGGATTTGTGTATGACTGAACAAACTGTTCGGGCTTTTCACACTGGCCCCATCCATCCTTGTGTGTTCCCAGGCCTTGCTCGCCCCCTTATCCTGTTCCACAGTGCCATGGTTCCACCTGTGAGGGTCATGATCGACCCTGTACCTGTTCCTGGATGGGGGCGGGGTGTTTCCAGAGCTTCCCTACTTATCTCTGTGGATGGGACTGTCCAGGTGTGTGTGAGTGTGTGTGTGTGTGTGTGTGTGTGTGTGTGTGTGTGTGTGTAGAGGGGGACACCAAGGGACCTGCACACTACTGCCCCTTCCTACCACACAGCCTTTTTTTTTTTCTTGCGCTTTCAAGGCCGTCGGCAGAATCCCTGGCCCTCCGCGACCTTTTTAACAAGCTGGGGGTCATACTTTGGGCTTTCACACTGAGCTATATTCCCACCCCTTTATATCTTTCAATTTTTATTTTGAGGTGTGGTCTCATTAAGTTCACCAGGCTGGGCTTCCGGGGCTCCTGGGCCAGTGCTGGGCAGCGTGCGGCTTTCCCTATGACTCACCAGACCCTGAAAATTCATCCTTGTGAACGTGTGTCCTGGTTGTTCCTTTGGTATCATTGTGGGAGGGACAGGAGTTTCAGGAGAACACCAACAGACACGTTTGTGTTCAGTGCTGGTATAACTGAAATATGTAACCAAAACTTAAGTCTCTTTCCTAAAGACAGTTCTGCTAGAAAGATGGCACTGTGCATCTGTGGTGGTCATGAGAAGTCACCCCGGCCCAGCCCGCTGCAGGTTCTTCAGTGAGGAGAATCAGAAACAGAGGGGCTGGGCCGGGGATTTAGCTCAGCAGTTCGGTGGCCTGCCTTGCAAGCTCAAGGACCCGAGTTCAATCCCCAGTACCAAAAAAAAAAAAAAAGAAAAAAAAAAAAAAAGAAAAGAAAAAAAAAAAAAAAGAAAAGAAAAGAAAGAAAAAAGAAACAGAAGTGGCGGATGGGGACTCAGCTCAGTGGTGCCACCACCTGCCTTGCAAGCAAAAGGTCCCAAGGTCAATCTGCGGCGCCCAAAAAAAAAAAAAAAAAAGAAAAGAAAGAAAAAAGAAACAGAAGTGGCGGATGGGGACTCAGCTCAGTGGTGCCACCACCTGCCTTGCAAGCAAAAGGTCCCAAGGTCAATCTGCGGCGCCAAAAGAAAACATAGCTCCATGGTAGAACATTTGCTTGGCAGTCAAGCCCCAGTAACACACACACACACACACACACCCACACACACACACACACACACACACACTCAGTTAAAATAAAGACATCCTAGCTGGGCATGGTGACAGACCTGTTATCCAGCCCCAGTAACACACACACACACACACACACACACACACACTCGGTTAAAATAAAGGCATCCTAGCTGGGCATGGTGACAGACCTGTTATCCCAGCATTCAGGAGGCTGAGGCAAGAGGATCGCCATGAGTTCAGGGCCAGCCTAAACTACATAGTGAGCCTGTCTCAAAAAAAACCCCTATAGTCAAGCCAATTTAGCCGCATCACAATAGTGTTTACTTTATGAAAAGAAACTGCATGCTCTGTGATTGACATTATCGTGCTGGTCCACCTCTTGTTATATAGCCCATGGCTGAGTAGCTTTTACATTTTGATTGTTATAAGAAATCCAAAGAACATTTTGTGACCCATGAAGATTATGTTAGAGACACCGATTTCCGTGTCCTTAAATAAAGTTTTGTTACAGCACAGCAGTGCACACTTGTTGCATTTTGGCCGCGTTGGGAGCCGGGGTGTAGTCCTGGGCAGGGTGCTTGCTCAGTGTGGGCAAAAGCTGGGTTCAATCCCCAGCATCAAGAAGAAGAGCAGAGCTGAGCAGGCCAACAGCCACTGCCACATCCCTGAAATACTCTGTGCAGCACAGGGGTTGGACGGCCCTGCTCTAGAAAAATACAGTGAAACATGCTAACAGCGGAGGATAAATACAAGGTTTGTGGCTTGGACTTGATTGCAGAGGTGACCTAGAGAGTACTTTCCTCTGTACGCTGGAAAGTGTGACTTATTTTTGTTTTGTTTTGGTACCAGGGATCGAACTTGGGCCCTTAGCACTTGAAAGGCAGGCGGCGGAACCACTGAGTTAAATCCCCGGCCAGGGTAATTTCTACATCTCCCATTTCTTTATACCTTATTATAATGGGCTTCTTTACCTTTGACGGTATTTTATATTTTAATGAGTTTTAAGGTGGTTTTGTGACAAAAATGTTGGTGGGGAGGTGTTCTCTCTGTGTAGTCAGTGTGTAGGTGGCTTCATGCATCCTGTTTAGTCCCCGAGATCCAGTGGCTCAGTGTTGCCTGCAGACGTGCCGCTGGCCCTCCAGTGCTCACAGTGCCGTCTGGCTCTGAAAGTGCGTGACCTTGCCACTGTGGACCGTGACGTTTGTGTTGTGCGGCTCATGGTGGCCTGAGCTGGGGGCATGTGTTCAGATGCCTGGCTCCCTCTCACCGCTGAGGCCAGCACGTCCCCCACTCCACGACCGCCACACCTGCTGGCTGACTGCTGCTTTTCTGCCCCAGGGAACCATCAGCGTGGGAGTAGATGCCACTGACCTTTTTGACCGCTATGACGAGGAGTACGAGGACGTATCCGGAAGCGGCTTTCCGCAGATTGAAATTAATAAAATGCACATCTCCCAGTCCATCGAGGTAAAAGCACAGACACCACCTCTGCCAGTGCAGCTCGGCCCTGGCCTAATGAGGCTCGGCACCCCGGGCAGCTGGAATGAGCATCTGCTGGGTTCTCGTCTTTATCTATGAAAGGATGTAATTAGCCACTTATAAAAGAGAGCGAGCTGCGGGCACAGCCTTGTCACTGCCGCTCCCACATGAGAGCCAGCGTGATACCAGGGCCGGGCACTCTGCCCAGGCCAAGTGGAGGCCAAGGTCGCGGTGATTTCAGGGAGGGAGGGACACCCCCGAGGGTGACCAGGAAGCAGTGTGGTGAGGTGACTCCGTTATGTGCTGCCTGGCCCCAGGAGCGTCACCTCTGCACCCACTGCTCCACATGGCCAGGTCAGGCCATCTGCTATACCGCCCGCCGCCTATTTGCCTCATCCATGCACTGACCGTGAGCCTGTGCGGTGTTACTGTGGGGATCTCATCCCCTCTTAGAGCCGGTAAGAGCCCCGAAGTCCTCAGTGCGCCCTGGACCGGGGACTGAGTGAGGCTGGAGAGGCCCAGGCCCCATGACGGGAGGCGCGTGGCAGAGCAGCTCATCATCGCCGCGCATGTTCACGTGACCGGGCCAGGCGGGGTGGTCACGTCCTATGGTGCGCTCACCACACTGCTCAGCAGCACTTCCAGTCACATCTGTTCCTGACCAGAAACATCTCCTCCCAGGCCCCCTTGACAGCCACGGACACAGCCATCCTCTCAGGAAGCCTCTCCACCCAGAATGGCAATGGAGGGGGCTCCATTAACTTCGCCCTCCGCCGAGTGACCTCCGCCAAAGGATGGGGCGAGGTAAGGTGCCCCAGGCCAGGCTGTCCCCACATGGCCATGTTTCTGATCATCCCCACAAGAGCCTCCTAGCAGCGTGGCTGGCCCCAAAGGAGTCCTGGCCATCTGCCATCTGCCCAGTGATTTAGAGTTAGGGTAACAAGCCAGGCATAGTGGCACAGGCCTGCAATCCCAGCACTCTTGGAGTTTGAGGCAGAAAGACCACAAATTCGAGCCCAGCCTGGGCATCTTGATGAAACTCTGGCTCAAAATTAGTAATTTTGCAAAGGCCCAGGGATTTAGCTCAATGATAAGGCCCTGGTTCATTCCCCAGTACAAAAGAGAAAGGTGGAATAAGATGTCCATTGACAAATCCAGAAATCCAGCAATCTGCTATTGCTTCCTTTGAGCAAGCAGAGGCACAGGTGGAAGCAGCATTCGCCTTGGTGCCTGTCCCATGGGTGGTGGCACAGCGCAGCCAGCCCTTCTGGCACATGGAGCTGCTCAGTGAGGTGCCCTGAAAGTCGCAAGGCTCCTAAAGGAGGCAGCCGGAGGCTCCAGTGTCAAGGCCTGCCGCGTGGGGGCACTGCAGGCAGGGAACAGGAGAGGCAGGAGCTGGGGTCCAGGTAGGCCTGGTTTGCTGTGGTGGGGCCCACTCTGCCCTGGCGGGAGCGGTGAAAGGGATTCTGCCTGGAGCTGGGTCGCTGCCGTGAGCTTCAACTGAGGTTAGTGCCCAGGCTCTGTAGTGAGAGCCTGTCTTACTAAGACAAAATAGGCAGTGGCTTAACAGCACACAGCGCAGTGGCGTGTCAAGTGTGTGTGTTTCATACACGCATGCACTATACAAAGTACATGGCGACTGATTTTGTCGGAAAGCCCCAGGTTCAATCCCAGCTCCAGGAAATCCAGAAACTATTAATGCACCCCCTTCTCTCTCCCTCCCCCAGTTGGAATTCGGAGCTGGCGACCTCCAGGGGCCGTTGTTCGGTCTCAAGCTGTTCCGCAATCTCACCCCTCGATGGTAAGCACAAGAGCTGTTGCTCCTGCCTGAGCCATTGCCGTAGGAGACGAGAGCCTCGTGTTCCGTGCTTGCGGTCACCTGGTCAGTGTCCTGAGGATGCTGAGAACCGTGGGAACAGGCTCAGGCCCTGGCCAGCCCTTGCCTCCACACTGAGCAGTTTCTGAAGTGTTTGGGGCAGCCTGGCCTCTGCATCCCATCTGCCACCTGGAAACGTGGCAGTGCCCTCCCTTCCCGCAGGGAGGCCAGCCGGCTGCTCAGAGCCCTGTGTCAGGTGGGAAGTGGACCCCTCCCTCTGCCCTCTGCTGGGCAGGCAGCTCAGGCATCCAGGAACAGAAGGAGTCCCCCACAGCAGGGTGCGTCATCCCGGGGGGCTGCACCTGGTGGTGGGAGGAGGCCGTGCAGGCGAGGAGGCCCTGGGTCCAGGGAGGGGCGGGACTGGTGTGTTCTGATCAGCGTGGTTCCGGCCTCCATTCGGGAAGCAGCCATTGGTGCTGAGACAGGGCCTCAAGTCTCCTGCCACAGCCCCAGGCTGGGAGCCTCTGTGAACATCACATCCAGTGTGAGGTCACCAGGGTAGCGCCAGCTGGGCATCTGGAAAAGTCCAGGCTGTAGTCTGTGTGAAGCTGAGTATGGCCATGGTGCCTGTAATCCCAGCTACTCCAGAGGCCGAGACAGGGCCACACGTCAAAGCCTGCCTCAGTGGCACTGTGAGAGTCACTTTCCACACAGAAGGGTGCCACTGTTTCCTGAACTTCAGGGTGTGGGGGGACCTGCTCTCCGCTCGTTTCTGTGGCCCCACAGCATAGTATGAGCCGGGTGACTGCTGGGCGGGCTGTGGCTCATGAGGGACTCAGGACCTCTGGCTGAGGGGAGGTGCTGATGGGAGTGGAAGGTGAGACTGACGAATCACGCCATGCCTGGTGTAACAGTTCAGTGATTCCTGGAGGCTGAGGCAGGAGGACCACAGTGAGTTCAAGGTCACCCCAGACTACACAGCCACTGTCTCAAAAAAGCGGGGGGGAAGATCATACTAATTATTACTTTAATGGCAAAGCTTTACCTCCAGAGATTAGAAAAGAGCCGAAGAATCCAGGCATGGTGGTGCATGCCTGTAATCTGGTAGGCTGAGGCAGGAGGACACAAGTTCAACACCAGCCTGGGGGACGTAGGGAGACCCTGTCTCAAAAAGTTTTTAAAAATTTACAAAGAGCTCAGTACAGAGTCCCCTGGTTCAGTCCCCAGTATTGAAGGGAAAGAAAAAGATGACAAAAACAAGAAGGCCATGTGGTCAGTCAGCATGGGTCTGTTTCCTTACCATAACCTTCAGTGAAGTCCCTGCTGGTGAAAGGAAATGCCCCTTCCGGCCAGGAGATGGCGCTGTAGTCCCCTGGATAGCGCTTTCGCTTCGCTCATTGGCGTGCCCTGTGGCCATACATCAGGATCTTTTTTCTTTTTCTTTTTCTTTTT